GAGCTGCTTTATTCGCCGGCCTCTAATACCGAGCCTGCTTATTTGGCAGTTTCTCAAGTTACTCCCCTCAGGCAGCTTGAGCCAGTAAAACTAGATCCTTTCATCTCGGCGGAGCTTACTGACAACCAGCCGTCTGGTTTCCTAGGAAACAAAATCTTGGCTAGAAATAGTGAATCATTTCCAGGTCACTTTCAACATGGAGAGTGGAGCAGGGAAGCATTGGACTGAGGAGGAGGTTAAAGCCTTGTTAAGCGTCTGGTCAGAAAAAAATATCAGAAAGCAACTCCACGGCACCCTGAGGAATAAAGGAATATTTATCTACATTGCTAAAAGGTTGCAGGAGTTAGGAGTTTGCAGGGATTGGAAACAGTGCCGTGCAAAGTATAAAAATCTGAAGTATGAATACAGAACGGTTAAATATGCCCACAACTCTGGGGATGTCACTAAAACCATGAAGTTTTTCCATGATCTGGATGCCATATTGCGATATGAACCTGTCACACAATTAGCAGCAGAAGAAAACGGCAGGTGTTCTGCGACTGAGACGCAGCTGAACACAAGCCCCACAACAGAGAGCACGCAAGGTAAAAAACTGTTTTTGCTTCTATTTTTCTCTCTTCGCTTAAAAACCAAAGGGAACAAACCCGAAGCCTGAGTTTGCTCGAGCCAAAGCGGAGGTTGCACAGCCCCAGCAGCACTGTTAGAACTGACTTGATGCACTCCTCGCGCAGGGGAATAAAATGTTAGCACCCACCAGTGTCGAAGTCTGTAAATACAGCGTAATTCTAGCAAAATTATGCTAACTGTTTGCATTGCAGCCTCGGCGAGTACTCGCTGGTGTCACGGCTCCTGCACAGGGTCGAAATGTTAGATTAAGAAAAACTGTTTTCTTTCCCTTTGACATTCATTTGCAGTACTTTCAAAGAAGGTTTTGTAGAGCTCCAATTCAGATGCAAACTTAAAAGCAAAGGTTGAAACTGTCGTGATTTTAGAAAATTCATTATTTGTGATACAAGTGAAATTTAGGATTTTTAGTCTTATTTCTCTGTAACTGAAAACTTACATATGGTGACTGAAGGTGAATTATTTTGTAAGCAATTCAACTTAAATATTTGAGAAACGGGGATGTTTAGTAAGTTCTTGTTAAAATTGTAATGTAATAAGTAAAAATCATGTTTATCAGACTATTCTGAGGCAAACCAAAAGAATACAACTGCATTTATTCTGAAGGTTTTTTTCCACCAAATTAATTGCATTTCTTGTTTTATTCAACTCCTTCTACATATGCATTTAAGCTGTGCTTAACATTTCATTAGGGTCAATCTGCTATTTGACATCACTCAAATCTCCTTGTCACATCCTAAATGTCACTGAAGCATAAGCCCCAATAGTAGTTATAAGTACCAAAATAGGATGGCTAAAAAGAGAAATTAAAAGCTTAGCCATTTGTTCCCACAGTATGTGGCAATTTACATTAATTAAGATTGTGAATCTTTTAAGAAAATAAAAAACATTAGTATCAGGAGATTGCCAAAGGCACAGAAAGGGGCTGGACATCTAGCTTGCCCTTGTACCCTTGCACATCTCTCTCTACAATGCTGTTTTACAGGTCTGAGGAAGAGAAATTGCCATTTTTCTTGTCATTGTTTACCTTAATGAAAAGCTTGACCTTAAATTGTCATCACTAGCAGAAAGTCTCTAATCTCTCACAGTCACTTTAAGTTAAAATGGCAATTTTATAATATTTTAACATGTGCTTTCTGCACTGTGTATTGCAATCCATTTTTATTTTTAAACTTGCAGAACTGAGGCTAATACAAGCTGTTACACTTCTGAGGACTACATGAAACTAAGATAGTGTCTGCCCTTAGATTATCCTCGGTGTTTTGATGTAGTTTGCTCCAACTGTTAATCTTAATTCTCGTTTGCCTTAGACCTCCAGCAAGTTTAAATCAGAAAAGGTTAATTTCAGTTGTGAATCCCAAACTAGAATATATATTTAAAAAAATTACCCCAGGGTGAGTCACACCTCATTTTGAAGCACTAGGACAGCCTGGTTTTAAAGGTGATATAATTAAATATATCTCTTAAATGCACAAACATTTCTGTTACTCCTTTAAGAACAAAAACAAATGAGTTTTATGGATAAAGAAAAATTAAATGCAACTAGCTGTAATATGTAACGCTAATGGTAAGAATTTAAATGCAAGGATTTTCACAACCTTAATTCAGCCACAGAGAAAACAGAGTAAGATAGAAATGTGTCCCGCAGCTATGCAGAATGCATACATCCCTAACAGAGGGCAGAAGCAGCTGTGAGAATATTGTCTTCATTTAAGAATACAAGTCAAGCTGCCGCACTGGAGGCTCAGTCCTTTCCCCACTGCCGTCAGTTGCAGTGTCTGCCCAGCACAGCACATCGGAGGGCACTTGTAGGCTACTATGGCACCTGTGGGGCTGCAGCTGATGCTCACGAGTTCTGTGGGGGCAGACTTGACAGTGCGGCTCCCACAGAAGGACACACAGGCCAAGGCAACCCGCTGCCCCTGCCCCAGCAGCCAACCTGCCTGGTCCCCCGCAGCCTGTGGGAGGAAGGGCACTGCTTTAATGTTCGTATCGGCACCCCCTAAGGTAAACTGACCAAAGTACATTTGCATCCCTGCAGGTCCCCTCCTGGGCTTCTCCCTTCCAACCACAGAGTGTTACAGGAGAGGACAGGAAAATGGCCCCTTCCCTCTTTAAAAGGAGGCTGAGGAGCCTTAATTTGACAGAGCTGCAGAAAACAAGGACGTCTATCTAGGCTTGTGACTTGACTAGCAAGAACAAAATGCTATCAACAAAGTAAAACCTATGCCAAATAATACTGTCCACCATGTGCATCTTTATTTGAAGAACCTAGTAGCTATACTATTCTGTTTAAAAAGCATGACAAGGGACAGGGCATGCTCCCCCCAAAATTACTGTATTTTTACCATTCTGCTTAGCCTCATTCTAAATATTCATACCCATCTTTACTGTAAAGCTACAAAGCAGGTCTTTGTGTTTAATTTGCTTGATTATCTCAACCACTAGGAGACTGTTGAGAAGGGGAAGGGAAAGGAAGAGAGAGAGACTCCTTTTATGGGAATGGATGGTATTTCTACAAGTGTTTCTCCGAGGTTGTTTTTTCATATCTTTTAAAATCAGTTTTCTTCTGAAAGTGAAATTGAAGAAGTTACTACTGAAAATCACAATCAAATCTAAGAGAGAGGTGTCTCCGGACAAACTTGATAGCAACACACACACAAATTCCCAGTTTGTTCATGGAAAGATGACACTTTTTGCATAAGCACATACCGCAGTGCCAGCCAGTGGTGTTCATGTTGTTCTCCCAAATTACATGTCTTCAGAGGCAAACACAGAGCCATAGCTTAAATAATCACTAAAAAAAGAACACATCAATATGTTCACTTCTCTTAAAATTTAATTTCTGAATTATCCCAGCAATCAACAACCAAGAAAATCCATGTAGTGATTGATGGTGCTCTACGAAAAATGGTGGCATTCATTAATTTAAATGAATGACCTTCCCATTTTGTTAACTAGTTTTGATTGCTTCAAAATAAATCAAGTATCAATAAACTGAGTCCTTAATTTGCAAAAGTAAACCTAGTAGTTCATGTTAAGTTACTTATGCTCTTTTAGATTTTATTCTGTGTTTAAATATTAACGCACTGGCCACTTTCTTTGCCCTTTACTTCACCACAGCAAATGCAGAAAAATTAAAGTCTGAGCAGAAGCGCATCAGCAATGAGAATATTATCATATGTATAAAACTCAGACAACTACTAGAAATGTAAAAAGACCTTTCAGAAATGGGGACTTCAAAATGCCACTCATACAGTTTTTCAATGTCTGGACTTTAACGTTAAACATGTTATTGACAAGTATTTTATATACTTTTTTTTTTTTTTTTTTTTTATTTTTTTTTTTTTTTTT